TCATACTGGAGGAGGGTGGGCCCCTGATCCAATATGACTGGCGTCCTTGTAAAAAGGAGAAATTCAGACACAGAGGCACACTCACAGGAAGAATGCCATGTGACGATGAAGGCAGAGATAGGAGTGATACAGGAGAAGTCAGGGGACATCAGATGGCCTGCAAGCACCAGGAGCTAGGAGAGAGGCATGGCCTAGTGCCGTCAGAGGGAGCCAGGCCCTGCGAACACCTTGACCTAGGACTTGCTGCCTCCAGTAGTGTGAGACAGTAAATTCCTATTGTTTAAGACACTCGGTTTGGGGTATTTTGTTACAATAGCTCTACAAATTAAGTGCTATTGTGATGAATTATGAAATACCTGACTTTCCTTGTGGATTATACACTCTTTGAAAACAAGAACAATGTTGGTTTTGTTTATTTATTTATTTTTTTTTTTTGGCAAGTCCCTTATACAATACTGTGCTTATAATATGTATTCCACAATTCTGGGTTGACTGACTAAATTAGGATGAGCAAATTAGGGAGAAATTTTGGAAAGTTCAGGTGGCAGAGAAAATTAGTGAACCTGAGATAGAAGGGGAATTCTGGCAACCGTTGGGGCGAGAGGGAAGGGGCTTTGAAGAATCTGTGGAGTCTTGGAACTCCACACTGGCTTCTTCTGCAGGGAAGAAGGAAGGTTTGGGAAGGCTAATCTGGTCACAGACCCACCGAGTCCTCTGATCAGAGTCTTTGGTGATGCTGAGATTCTCCACACAGAACATGTTCACACCCGTGGACAGGTCAAGCCCTACTTGCAGGTGAATACAGTCATGTGCCTCTGCTATTCCTCCCCCCTCTGATGGCTCACTCACCGAAAGTCACAGCAACTCCCCCTCCATTGTTCGCCTGTTCTTTTCGAACTGTGCGTCTCAGACATAGACGGTGTGTGGAAGACAGGGCAGGGATGGCAAGGTGAGAAGGCAAGGGGAGAGATTTGTGAGGAAAGACACACATTTACTGAGCTGAAATCCTTCCATGTGCTCAGTACTCTAACTACATACGTTCACCCAGCTGGGTATCATAAACCCCCGTTTACAAAGGGGAGACGAGGCTCAGGATCACCTGCTCAGAGTCATGCCACACATCAAATGAGTAAGGGAGCTGAAGTTTCACCCAGATCTGTTTGACTCCAAGGCCTATGTTCCCTTTCTACTTCACCAAACTGCCTCTTATTCTGGAAGCAAAATAAAAATCAACACTCTCTTCTACACTGACGCATGTTCTCCTTTGATTCCTGCCTGTGCCAAGCTGGCCCTTTAAATGAGCTGGCCCACTCATCCTCTGCCTAGCAGCCAGCACAAAAAAAAGCTGGCTTCAGACAACAGTGGTTTGCCAAGCAATCTCCCAGGTTATTTCTGTCTTGTATATTATCTATTAATCTGATTACTACTCCCTGGTACCTCAGATTTTTGGCTCTGGACCCTCAGCTCTGCACTATTAGAACTGGTTTACTGGCCATTGGCTTCCCACTCTGACCTTGCCTTCCTCCTGTTTTTGTCCCCCTGAAGCCTGAGATGGAGTTGGAGGAGGGGGTCGCCATGGAGACCCCCTCCTCCCACTCCATCCCTTCTTTTAGTGAATAAGAGCCTCCTCCATCCTCATTGGCAAAGCCAGCCATTTTCCCTTGAAGAGGTGAGAGGCATTTGAAGGTTTCCCATAAATATGACGGTGGATGTGTGAGTATAGAAGGGTCCTAGAATAAAATCCAATGAACTTGCATTTAACACTGGCCTTACCACCAACCGGATGTGTACTTTGGAGGAAGGCACTGGTTTCTCCTCATTATAAAAATAAGTGTGCTGCGCAAGGCACTTGTGAGTTTCCTGTGGAGTTAAAAATCTATAACTCTTTGTTAAAACATACAAAACAAGGACCTGTATAACACTATAACAACTGTGTTTACACTTGGCTGTCATTAAGAAAAAAAAAAGACATTGGTGACTTACAATAAAGCATCTCTTTCACATACTTGTTTGGACTTTTAAAAATCAACTTTGGGGCAGTGGATCATACTGCTCTGATTCTTACAAGACTGTATATCAGGAAATATAGTCTAGCCTGGAAGCATTAAGGAAAAGAATAGGTAAGGTGGCACAAAGATTTCTACCAAAATAGTAACTTTCTGAATACACCCTATATGGACACATGCCCTAGATGCACTTTTGCATACAGTCCCTGTCAAGATGTCTTTATATAGAATATGCAGCATTCCCATTCTTTTTGGCAAGTGTTTATTTTCAGTCCTACTCCATGCATGCACTAAAGATAAACTGGAGATGAATAAGAACTCACGGACCTTAAATCTAGAGACTGTAGGGGTCCTGTTCTTGGAGGCTTTCCAACTGATTTGATGGACAGAACATTTACTTGTGTGCAAGTAACTCATTTCTTAGAATATCAGACAACTAAGTAATTATGTAGTATTTTGTCTGATCAGTAGTAGGTTTATAGCATTTTTGCAAAAAAAAATATTTTATATTCTTTTTAAAATAGGACTGGTCCAGGGAAAAGGAGGAGAAAGAGTAGGTAAGAAATATTTCATTTCTTTGACTTCAGTGAAATCAGTTCTCTAGTCAGCAGATTAGAAATTCCCCCTGGAATATCTGAAAAGCACAGTATAACAATTCAGTCATTGTCTCTGGAAGGCCTTGGGAAAAGTACACATAACTGCTCCGGGGTGATATCCTAATAGCTTCTCGTTAATAGACTCAGGGATTAATGTTCCTGGTAATCTGGCTGGCAACGTGTATCCCTTATCCTTTTCCCAATTCAACACCATTCTCAATTATCATCTATCCTTTAAATAATCACTGAAATTCCACCTCTTCCATGAAGTCTTTCCTGAATAACTTGGGGGAAAAAAAGTGATTTCCCTTCCATAAGTAAAGCCTCATCTCGATACTTCTCCATAACCATGGGCTCACATCCCAACTGTGATTTTTTGCTTAGTCCCAGTGACAGGAAATGCCAGTTATGAAGTCAGGTATCATAAAATTTCAAAGCTGAGTGGGACACCAGGAAACCAATTGGTGCCGTCCTGTTTTAATTTGATGAATATCTACTCTTTCCAGCTCTGAGTAATGATTCTTCCCTTAAAGGTCACAGAGATTTTACCCATAAGAGTCTCATTTGTTCTATCCCATGCTACCATTTTTTTATCTTCCTCCTGTCTTCTTCCCTCCCTCCCTCCCTCCTGCCATCCTTCTCCACTGAATACACAGCTATTAGCACCTTCTGTATGCGTGGACATAATTTCTAATTTTCCCTTTGATTATGTATACATTTTGCATTTTTGAACCCTTGTTTCCTTAGATTCCTTTACATTTTTTATGTCGAGAATGTAATCCAGAACTTTAATGGAGGTCTGGAAAAGAGAAAAGGTGAGGGAAGTTTGACTTCTGTATTTAGCTTGTGGACAGCTTGGAACCCTTGCTTATGTGCAAAGTGACCCACTAGGAAGTCACTTCATCTTGTCAAGATCAGTTCGAATTATATTCCTGTCTTGTGGGGCTATTCGTGAATTTGCCTAACTTAGTATAGTCTGCAAATCTGATGAGCACATTGTCGATTCCTTCATCTCAGCCATCAGTAAAGATATTGAATAGGCAATAAAGATATTGAATCCTGTCATACTCTGGGACAAGGGCATGGGTGTTTACAATAACACTTGTGACCCAAGCAATCCTGCTGTTTGAACTCATACTTTCTTCTCAGAATCAGGTATCAAGCTCATGGGCATTGTACTTTCAGAGACAACTTTAAATGTCACTAGAACTGGTGTTAACCAGTCCACTGAACTCTCTGCTCTTTTGATATATCATGTACTTCCAACCACTCTCAATGGAACCCACTGTCTTCATCTTTATCCTCCTCAATAGACTGGGTCTTTGTCTTTATCAGCAGCTTGGGCTTTGAACCATGTTGGTTACTTAAACATCTGCATCTTGCCTTTGATATCTTATGATTTCTAGCCACGACTATTTCCATCATAACTTTTCTACCTCCCCAAGTCACACTGCCCTTCTTAACATTTAGTCCCTGCAGTTCACTTGGGAAGCTACACAGGATGCTGTTTGGATGTTGGTAGGTGTACCGACACATCTTTGTCACTGACCAAGAAAGGAGTGGGCTTTAATTATTTTAATGTGTGGAATATGATTCCTTATACCTGTGGTTTGATAGCAGATTGAACAAACTTACTTTGAGTTTTATCAGAACAGTTGTCTGATTGGAGTGTTGAGAAGCTCAGAATACTTCTGAGGCAATGATTCTTCATTGAGAAATGTCAGGTAGTCAGCAGCCTGTGGCAAGGCCTCTTCTCAATGCTTCCTCTTTGCTCAGCCTCAGATTATCCCTTGACTTAGAAATAAAATGCCAGTATAGTTAATAATGTAACTGGCGGAGAGACATAGAGTCATTTGTCTCCATAGAATGAAACAAAGGCCCGTATCAACCCAAACAAACAGATGACAGTCCTTCTGCAAAAGAACTTTTGCTCATCACTGTCCATCCAGAAAACTTTGTTTTTTTCTTTAATTTAAACCACCTGTTTGAAACACTCATCATAGCTGGAAATAAAGACAAATGATGTGCATCCCTCCAGACTTTGAAATGGGCACCCTGCCTTTTCTCTTGTTCTGTATCTATATACTCATTTTCCTAGGCTGGGCTATGAATCTCTTCACTGTTCTCCTTATATGAAATGCTCATTCCTCCAAGACCTTTTACTGTTACTGTAACAGTAACACACGCTGGGTCATTGCCTCCTCAGGGAAAACATTCTTACTCTCCAAAGAATCGAGATGAGGCTTTACTTTCCTCTGCTTCCCCATGTATGCCTTGTTCCTTCATTGTGTCCTTCGACCTTTCTTCCCTCAGTGCCACAAGCTGCCCACATTTTCTCTCCATCCTGACGATTACTTCAGAATTAAGAAAAATTAAAATAAGCATTCAAAAGGTTCACCTCTGATCTGACTCAGAACTGAAGCGAGATTGGAGAAGGGCTTCCGTGCTCCGTTTACAGCAGTGGTATTATATTCATCTGCAAAGGATGGAAACGTCTCCAAGACCAGGCCAGACCTAAGACCAATGAAATCAGATTATCAGCAAGTGTGTCTCAGACATTAGGCTCCTTTTAAATCTCTCCAGGTGATGCTAGTGTGCAGCCAGGGTTGAGAACCACTGCTTTCTAGGGTGCCCGGTTATTTTTCTTCGGAGTGCCCCCAGAAGGATCCATCCCCAAAACAGCCTGTGGTGGAACCCTAATATATTTTCCTCATTTAGTTAAGGAAAAGAGATAGGCACTTCTGGTTGGATCAAATACCAGCAGTGCCTCTCACATTTTAATATGCATACATAGCCCCTGGGGATCTTGTTAAAAGGCAGGTTCTAATATAACAGGACTGAGGCAGGCTTGAGATTCTGCACATCTAATAAGCTCTCCTCTATGTGCTACCAATGCTATGGTCTATGGACCACATGGATAGCTGGAACTATAACTTCAAGCTTACACTGACTAATCAACACAGCCTCCAATCAACTTTAATGCCCATTTAGCAATGTCCTTGGCTCTTAATAAATGGAGGCTGACAGCTTACTCTCCTTGTTCTGCAAGAACGACAATAGAATTCTTAATCCAAAGCAGGTATAGTCAGGTGACTGGATATCTTGTGATAGTTAATTTTATGTCAACCTGACTGAATCACAGAGTGCCCAGATATTTGTCTAAACATTATTTCTGGGTGTGTCCATGTTGGAGATATATACATATATCTCCAATCAGCTCTGTTACTCTGGAGAACCCTGATTAATACAGTATCCCTTAAGACTATCTTGGGAAGTGAATGATTCTGGGTCTCAATTACAATGTGTAAAGGGTTTTCCCCATACCACCAATTCTTGGACACCACCTGGTTTCTATAATTCAACTCAATTCTGACACTGTCTACCAAGAGACAGCATCAGATTCCTTAGGTTAAGCGCTCAGATCCACCAGACTGCCCCCAACCTCAGATGCCAATCCCAAGTCCAGGTTGTCACTGCGACTTTGACTGATCAACTATAAATCAGAGGTTCCCATGACCTCCTCCTCAGGTTTGATTAATTTGCTGGAGGGGCTCACAGAACTCAAAAAAACATGTTACTTACGTTTACTGGTTTATTATAAAAGGATATGACAAAAGACAACATAAACATGCACATGAACATGCAGATAGAATAGCTATGTAGGAAGGGGCACGAGTTTTCATACCCTTTCCAGAGACACCACTCTCCCAGCACCTCCACATGTTCACCAACCCAGAAGCTCTAGAACCGCTTCATCTGAGTTTTTATGGAGGCTTTATAACTTTGGCATGATGGACTAAATCAATCAGTGACGACTGGTGATTGATTCAACCTCCAGCCCTCTCCCCTCCAAGGGGGTCCAGGAGTGACTAAAAGTTCTGCTCTCTAATCATATTGGCTCCCCTGGCAACCAGCCCCCAACTTCAGGTGCATTCCAAAAGTCGCCTAATTAACATAACAAAAGACACCTTCCTTGCTCTCCTCACTGGAAATTCCAAGGGTTTTAGGAGCTCTGTGCCAGAAACCAGGGACAAGATCAATTATGTATTTCTTATGATAAATCATGATATCACAGAAAGTGTTTCTCAACCTGTAATATGCATGTTAATCACATGTAGATTCTCTAAAATGCAGATTATGATTCAGCAGTCCTAAGAGGGGCATGCCAGTCTACATTTTTCCAAAAAATTCCCAGGTGATGCCAATCCTGCTAGTCTAAGGACCATGTTTTGAGTAAGAAGATTCTAGGGGGAAGTTTTTTTGACTTCAAACATTGTGGGATCTAAACTTTGGAGTCCCCAACTCAATAAAAAATTCTGACTCCTGAGGTCTTCTGAGCAATAACTACCAGGCCCATAATCACCCCAGGCCATAATTTTCCTGCATCACTAGAAACCAGTTTTTGAATAGACCTAAAATTACAACCAAAAAAAGACCACCAGTCTTGCCTTCTTCCCCAAGCCATAAAAGTACCCAGTCCTAAAGAGAGCACTATCTGTGTTTGGGGACTTAGCCATATTTAGGATCTTCAGAATAAAATCCTATGGAAACTGTGTGTACCCAGCCTATGATTACAGGGCTCTAGGGTGGACTAAGATTTCCCTGATCTCAGACAACCACAGGAAATCAAGGACCAGGAGAGTTCTGGTGAGAACACAAGGATATGGATCGATTGTTCAACACAGAATTATTTGGCATCACCATCACCATCATTGCCATCAGTTCCTCCTTTTTTTAAGGGGAAGAGAACTCAGCATTTAGAGAAATACTGTCTTTTTCCTCTCAATTCAAGACACTTAAAGACCAGTTGGAAATACTCAAGAAGAAATCAGAAAGCACACTGCACCATGAACTTTAAGACCTGATTCCCAGGCCCAGCTTAACACTGACTTATGCTATGAACTTGGGACAGTCTCAAGTCCTCTGGTAACTAGCTTGTCAGCTCTGCAGAGTGGGGATATTTTCATAGATGTTTCATGAAGCTCACATAAGATAATAAATATGCAAGTATTTAGAAAAGCAAAAGCTTCCTAAGGTTTACACTAAACTTGGAACCTTCTGTTCAATTTAATAAAAATTCGTTGAGTACCAACTCTGAGTCAGGAAACATTACAAGGATGACTTCTCTAGCTTGCCAAGAAATACTGTCATAGCTGCAGAGCTTTGGGCCTTAGGACAATTTATTGGTCTAAAGTCACATAGAAAAGCCTCCCTGTTTGGCAGCATCCCAGTCACTGCCTTGGCCATGATGACCATAGAGAGTAATTTATTCTATTTAGTTTACATGTGTATATAGTATGAAGCTGTTGGAGAATGAGGTGAGGAGGAAAGATGGGTTTCTCCTTTGGGCCAAGTTAGAGCCTCTCCTCTAGGCCATGAAATATTATCATCACATATGTAGTATGGGCTTTGTCACCAGACTAACACAGGTCCCAAGTCCACCTTTGCTTTTGTTACTAGAATGACACCCTCTTTAAGCTTCATTTTCTTCATCTGTAATATGGGAATATTTCTATTTCCTTTATTTTCTATCATTAATAAAATGAAGACCAGGACATCCAAAGAGACAATTTCCAAAAGAGAACAGCAGCCCAAATCACCATTTGTTTGATAGTCTTGCCTGAAACTGCTGCTAGGATTACCCTAGCTTCAAGAAGGCATGGTTTCTGCTATAAAAAAATAAATAGGAGAGCCAAAATCTTTCATGTAATAATCCTCTATATAATTCAAGGACAGTTTATAAGATTCACTACATATATATATATATATATATATGTATATATGTGTGTGTGTGTATATATATATATATATAGTGAATACACACACATATACATAAACATATACATATCCATATAGCCAAGAATCTCAAATTTTGAGAGAAAGAGAAGAAAAGGAAAAGCCCACAAAGTATACACTTTGATAGTCCACTTACAGGACAGCTTGCCTTCTGAGGCACCCACAACCTGGCTCCCATCCAACCTATGAGCAGAGTACCAAAATCAAAGAGCTATCTTCCCATTTTCAAAGCCAAAATGGAGAGGATAAAGTGGTGAGGGGGTCTGCAAGTCTTGCCACTCCAATCTATCCAGGGTCTGCCTTCCAAAGTCCGGTTTTTCAGGCTGAAATCAGGCTACTCCATCCATGATGTCCCACTCCTTCAGGAGATACCAAAACAAGCCTTGGAATATTGTGATCTAATAACAGAATCCACCTGTCAAAGAGGAAACTCCAATACACAGTGCAAGGGATTCATTGCATCATCTTGTAATTATACTCAAAAAAGAGAGTAGTTACTGCTATTGTTCTTGTTATTATGAGTTAGATGTTTTAACTTCCAGGTGAAAATATTTATGGAGAGGATGTGCATTGACAGATAAGCCCCACAGAGCTGCTTATCATCTTGGCACCTCTTTTGTATTCCCCTTTGGTCTTGAGAAGGCTTCTTGATGGTACCTACCTAGAGCCAGTAAGGAACAAAGACCCATAATACAGTTAGCATTGTTTGTCATTCAGCGCAACTTAAGTCATACAAGACTCAGGATCCGAACATTAGTCAGAAGAGGCTGATACGAAAGAAATCACAGTCCTTGGCTGCAGACGACACTAGTTGGTCCTGGTGGCTCTATTTCTCATGCAGCAGAGTAACACACTATTTGTGATGCCTTGATTCAGAGGAGGATTATTAATCACACAGCTTAGGAAACCTCTACAACATGTAATGAGTTTAGTAACTGAGATCTGTGGTGATGACCCTAAACGAAAGCAGAAAATATCAAAGTTGGGTCAATAGTATAGATTTCTCCCTTTTTAACTTTGTCTTAATGATCACAAAGAGGGCTGTTCTATTTTGATATCTTTTTGTTACATTCCAGTTGGCATTTCATGTTGACCTCAGAACAATTCATTTAATAGGCACAGCCTGGAAGTACTGCTAATAAGTACATGGGATGATGTTCTCACTGGCTGTCTATTTCCAAAGGAGATAGAGGGGGTGTGTAAAGAAGTGATGGCCTTTCATCTTTCTCTGAAAAACAACCCATTGGTCTTATCCTAAGTTAAATCAACATAATTTTGTCTCCAAACGTCCTTGAAAATGCTTCATCACCACTCGGGAAACAGAACAAATGCCCCTTCGTTCCAATTTTGGAATTCAAGCCCTGGGCTTAGGTTCCATCGCTCACTGGGTAGTAGAAACACAAGAGGCTTCCGGTGGGTTTTCCATTTAAATGGTTTGGCATAAACTGAGCTATGGCAGGTTCCCAAGCAGAAACCTAAAGCCGTGTTTGAGGTCAAGTGTCACCTAGAAATCACCTAGTAGCCGTTTCGCTAACTGTAACCAGGACATTGGAAGAAATTCCCAATCAATCTCATCTTTCCCAAAGCTGCTACCCCCACGCTTAGCTGTTTTGAGAGGACCGAGGACCCAAAGGGCCACCACCACGTCGTTTACTGCACACTTAATTATAAAGCTCTCATTTCGTTCTGCAATCAGGGAAAGCAAAACATCATTTACA